GACCTAAGCTTTCGGCCATGATCATTCCAGGACGAAGCATTGGCCCAATGCTTGGATGTGCTGTTCCAGCAAGATCCTTTGGAAAGAAACCAAACAACAATATGCAGCATGCACACGGGCGTTGCCTCTGTTCTCCGAAAATTTGAATTATGTCAACATCCAAATATGATGACGTTATATATAAATATAGATAGATATAACTTATAACCATGTTCTGTGAAAACCTCGTCTTTGCTAAACTGCGTTGGCACGGCTTGTCGCCTTCTCGAGTTCTGTGCGCAGCGCGTGGCAGAGCTTCTCAGCCTCCAACCGTCCGCTACAAAACCAATTCCCACCTACTAGCGATGGCCTCCACCTGTTTTTTTTCTTCAATTTTGATTCAAAACCGACTGTCGATACTTCTGTTGACTCAAGAACTCTCTTCCCAGTTAGCATCATTCAATAGAATGCTGCATGCAGTCGAAGCCAAGTCTGTCTGGCTAACTTTCATAATTCAATCATGTTTTTTGCATTTTGGCGCATTTGTTCAGTAAGTTTCAGCGTGAGAATGACTTACATTCACAAACTATGGTGCATGATATCCGTCCTGGTGATCACAACGGTCTTTGTCATTTCGGTTGATCTTTGCATGCATGTGACAGGAGATCTCCTGTCTGCAGGAGATCCACGCTGGTGGAAAAATAGCCCTCTCCGGACAGCCGGCCACCACTTGAGACATAGTCCACGACTCCATTGTGAAGTGATAGCGAGTTATGGGATAGTGATGGTGATGATGGCCCAGCGTTAATCTTCCATCTTCGTTTTGATGATGATGGCCTAGCCTGGTGTGCCCATCTGGGCTGATAAGCATCCAAAGTTCTGACCAGGCTGCAGGAATTGGCAGTGAGTGTCATTTTCTTTGACCAATGCAGTCGGATGTATTGCAAAAAAGCCGACCACTGTGAAGTTGGTTCAATGGTGTGGGATAATGTGGGATGCAGCTGCTTTTGCTTCGGAGTAGCCGTGCCAGTCAATGACAGTCGGCACACGTTGTATTGAAGGGACAGAATGGCAAGTTTCTGACTGGAGTCATGAAGCATTACAGCCGCACTTGAATGAGATCCTCCCGGCGTTGGTGCTCCTGTGCGACGGCTTTTTGAGCTCACGCCTGAGGTCGGTCGTCCAAAGCCCATTTGTGAAGTTAGTAAGTGACCAGGGCAGGTCTCTTCAGTCGGATTGTGACCTAAATGAAGCAAATTGCGAAAGAATGTGTGTTTCATTGGAATCCATCATGTCCAATCTTGATCGGCCAGCCTCGGGTCTGCAAAGTACTCGTGCTTCCAAACACGTCAGGTGAATTGAATGTGCATCAAAAATCATCAAAATGCAATTGCCAGGGATGAACTCGCAAAACATGTTGAATGTCAGCAGGAGCAAGTGGATTGCGACCCGGGTTGCATCTTCCCTCCTTTGGTCTCTGTCAACGTTGCTTGCAAAATGTTCAGCATTCACTGGCTGTAGCTGCCATGCACTTTTGCTTGCTTTCCGTAGAAGGCTTGGGTCACATGCATTTCCCGATTTGTCAACATCGCATCACACCTTTGCTCTGTTTTGCTGCATCCTTTATTGTCACACAAACACCTAGCTGTTCTTTGACCCTCTTCTGCCATCGTGCCTGTTCTCTGCCCTTTGCCGAGAGTGAGTGGTCAGTAGTGCGCACCATCCCATGGATGTCCATCTTTCCCTGTGCCTGTCGTTGTCGCAATCAATGTCAATATTACAGCCAATAAAATTACCTGCCAGAACTTATACAGTATTGCCAATTGTTCTTTAAGTATACACCTGGATCAGTCACTGATGTTGGCCCATAGTACATACTACAGTCAGTGCGCCTTGTTCCACTGACTCTCCCCATGCCGCACCAAATACCTTACAGGTACAGCCACTTCTTGCCACTTCTTGCCTTTCTTTCTGTCAAAGCAACTGTTTGACTCTCTCACCGCCACGGGATAAGCATCAAAATTTAAAACACCATTGATTCAATCACACTTGCCTGCTGACAAAAACTGATTGATCAATGGATCATGGGGAGAATGATGTTCATGCACTGCTTGCCAGAGCACTCTTATTCAGAGGGAAAAAAATGCCACAAAGAAGCTACTCACAAGGTCTGACACACCATGCAAGAGAACGACCCAAAAAGGTCAAAAGGAGGGTGCGGGAAGACGAGGACATGAATGGGGAGGCCTGTCGGAGACAAAGAAGCGCTTGGCCAATGTGATACGGGGCATGCATGAATGTCCTGAGAACTCCCTCCTACCTGCATCCAAGGTCTGCACACGGTCCTTGGCCGCAGCACAGCCTGACCGGTTTGAGGTCAGACCAAGGGCCCGTGCTACACCGTGCTGCGTGGCACGTGCTATAGCGTGATATGTGACATGAACTCAAATTCTCAAAGACGTGACGATCCGAAAGCTCCATTCGTTGATCAAGATTGACAAATCTACAAAATAGACACTGGGAAGAACCAAACCAAACGCCCATCAAAGTGCCTTGCAATCCAAAATCTGAAAGGATACCACCGGAGGAGCTCCTAACTGTCCAACGAGGAGGCGAGGCGATGACATGCAACGAGAGTTTCTGGAACTGCACAATATGCGATGAAGAGCAAAGAAAGGGACACAAGGAAGGTGTTCTTTGCACTCACACTTTCCCATAGTGGAAGGATTTGCTGCTTCCTATGCTTGCCTTTTCGAACAAAGCTTAGCATGCATTCATGGCTTTCATCCTTTTCAGCCACCCAGTCCGGTGGATGCAAAAGAAGCATCGAATCATATGGAGAGCAAACAGGACCAACATTCAAATGTACATCGAAGCAAACTTTACAACAAATTCAGAAGAGCTTTGAGAACTCAAGAGTCTGTGGTAAATGGATTGGAGTCCAGCAGGTTCTGGGCGATGTCCTCTCCTTGCTGATTTGTGTTCAGAGCCTTTTGAAGTCTCTGATGTAAAGCCAAGTCCTGCAACAGCAAACACACCAGTCACTGAGGAGGCAGCTGTCAATGCTTTATTCAATTGTGCACACAAGCTTTCGACAGCGGCGACATCCACCACAAAGCATACTGCAATACACCGCGTAGCTCGCCTTCATTGGAAGCTGAAGAGAGCCCAACACTGTACTGGCATCGCGCAGCCTGTGCTACACTAGTGGCGGCTGTCATGTGGAGTCATCCCATGTTGTCATCTGGAATACTCACTCGTCTGACATAAAACTTATTTTCCAACATGTAATTAAGCTCGACTTATGTTGGATTCCATTGTCTTTCCATTCTTGCTTTGAACTACTCTTACATGACCGAGAGGTCAGCACATGTCAGCATCAGTGAGCATCCAATCAAGTGCCGTCCAAGAATCTCCACACATAAAATTGCTGAGCTGTTCTGAAGCGTCTCAGCCTGAGCGCTCTTCGTTGTCCAGCAACTCTCTAGTGACTTCATTGCTCTTGCTATCTTATCTGTAACTGTAGCACTGTAGCTGAGAGAGTCTTCTTACGCACGGCTCACTACTACCTCAGATCTCACGTCTAAATGCGTCTCCCAGACTATCCGAGGTCATGGCGCTGAGCTGAAACCCCAAGCATCGTGCAGAGAACCTTGGCACGTCTGCAGCTCCACCCTGCAGTTCTTCAAAATATCGAGTTGGGCAAGCTTGGGCAAGCCACCATGCAGGCTGCGAACTGCTTTTGCTTGGCCATTCGGCCATCTGAGCAAACTCCAAATGTCCAGTTCACACCCGCCATGTAGATGAAGAATAGTACAAAATGAGAGGAATGCCGGAGCCTGCCCTAAAGGTCTGGCGGAAGCTTCCACCCACACCACCACTGATGGGTTTCGGTTGACAGCCTCAGGCTAGACTAACACAGCAGTCCAAGCGCAAACGCATTCAAGCACCAGCTTTTTTGCCTAGCCAACATAGCCTGACCGCGTATGGAATCGGTTAATGCAAGTACCTATCTGCAGAAAGCTTACACTGCCCGTTTTGTCGAAGGGAAAACTGAAGTGTTGAGGCTGAAAAACGCTTTGTTCCAAGGCCCGGTCTGCGCACATGTTTGGTTGTTCCAAGCAGGGCACGTTCCAAACCTCCGAGTAAAACGCACCAAAAAACGACGTTGGCACCACGTAGGCACCCAGAAACCTAGAAACGACTTAAAGGTCAAGAAAGTCGAGGCCTTCGGAACAAATTGTTCCCACTGTCCAAACTGCGCCTGCTCCAAGAAGAAGGCGCATTCCCCACCAGAGTAAGTGCCAACCTAGGAGGACGTTTCAACGAGAAAAGCCCAAACGTTCCACCCTCGCTTTTTCTCGGTGAGACTTTCTTGATTCATTTGCCCTTTCTCTAAGCTGCTATCTATCTTCTTCATTTTCCGGGCCTTGCCAGTACTGTCGAAAGCTCTGGCCTCTTCAAGAACTGCTTGAAGAAATCTTTGCAAGACTGTTGTGTCTGTCCTTATGATATGTTGCTAATCTTTTGCGCTCCCCTTCTCTGTGTGTCTCTACTTGTATCTATTGGCCTGCGCTCGACCACTCAGCCTCTTCACCTCAACCTGTTCCAAATGTCAAGCACAATCTGCAGCCATGCACAATTTGCTAGTGCTGCACCTCATCAAAGGGTTGGACCTTCTCAATATGCTGGCACTGGCCCATGACAATGCCACAGGCGTGTAGAAACGAATATCCGTCGGACGATGAGAAGCCGATCTATGAAACTCGATCGAGACTCTCAGCCAATGTCAGATTGCTCTACACTCTTGGAGAAAGCCTCTGATAGAGAGCAACTGTTCTAAAGAGCATGTTGAAATACATTCAATTGTGCAAACAGAACTTACATGTATATAAGACAGTGGCATTTCATTGCATGTCAAGCGATGTTCATGAACCAAAAACAGCTTCGGAGATAAATTGGTGTTACAAGTTACAAGCAATGTAATGTGGCAAGCCAAGGAACAACTTCTCTATTCCCACCTCGTCCAAGTGCATGAGCCGAACCAAACAGCTCAAAGCAAACCTGTCACGTTGCCGGCCAAACACACTGTCTGAGAACACAAACTTGTGTGCAAAGAGACTGGCCAGCGATGCAATCCAGAGACCTTTGGCAAATCACTTGTTGGCAATGCAATATTGGCAATATACACTGAACAGTCAGGTCCCACACGTTCACGCTTGCAAGCGTGCGTCGTGCCTGTGCAGTGTCTCTGACCTTTCCCTATGTACAGCACCTCTCTGTATGTAAAAGCTTTGCAAAGCAGTGCAAAACTCGGCATCTCTCCTCTTGGAAGCCGTTGACCAAAGCTGCCCGAAGGCCCACGATGAAGCGATCCTCACAGCCACATGCCCAAAGAAGCTTCTGAATCGATTCCAGAGCAAACGTGAAATTGCCTCATCCGCAGCCTGGCAGAAAAACATAGGTTTTCCCATTGAGCCTTCTGGGATGCTTCTTTGATGCATCATTTTTATGCGTATTCAAAATCATCTTTGACCCCTGGAAATGCGGGCGCCTGCGAAAGCTCCATATTGCATTAGCACTGCATGTGCAGCACTTTGTGCCATTCGGCCATTCATGGCATCGCGCATCATCTGAGAGTTGACATGGTCACGTGGTGTCACGCTGCTTGATGTGCTTTACCAAACGACTAGAATCCTAGAACCAACGATAAGCAATACAATACAATATATCATATCTGTGAAAGTGTGCAAGGGCGTTTCCTGTCTTGATTCTTGATCCAATGGGCAGGCATTACACCATCACGCCAAACTACTGAACTCAGACTCTTAAAAAGAAACACAGGAGCATGTTCAACTTGATTGTTCAAACCCGGGCAACGTGTTGGCAGAATCCAGGGCAAGAACCATGCACCCTGTAAATGAGAAAACAGCCTTTTTCCGTGATTGGCAAAGAGAAGAGGAAAAACAACACAATCCGCTAGTCCTGCACTCCATGCAAGGGCCGCAAGGTGCTGCTCTCAGCTATTCTTTGTGCCCATTCCTTGGGAATTGGCACTATGGAAGAGATCCGCACGGCCACTGGCAGCTACACTGGGAGAGAACGAGAGCAACCATGTAAACAAGAAAACAAATGTAAAGGGCCGCAAAAGGCATTGCTGACAATACTTCGGGCTTGGCCAGGACTTTTGGAGTGATGAGAACCTTTGGTTGAAGAAAGCACTGCTTCTCCAGCGATGACAGAATCATAATTTTCTCGATCATTGCCCAAAGCCACTGGAATATTGGGCCAAATGTCATTCGCATCGGCAGCCTCTGCAGTCCCTGGTTCAGAAGCCACAACCTTTTCCTCTGTCACAGCCGGGCCATGGAACATGCCACCATGTTCCTTCCAATAGTAGAATGGGGTCAGCAACGCCCAAAACATGACATAGCCTGCATGCACTTGGAAGGGAATCAATGGATCATTGATGGGCCGGTAGAAGCAAAAACCCGCAATCACGGCTCCCAAGTTTCCCCCAGCTCCAACAAGCGCAGACACAACTGCAAGTTGCTGTTGATTCATGAAGGGCACAATGCCGTAACCTGCGTTGCCACAAACGTCTAAAGACAAGAAGAAAACACCCTCACTGTTGGACGCGAAACTTTTGCGATTCACCGAACAAACACAGAAACGGTTCAGTTTAGCCAAGCAGCTTGTCCCTTCTGCCATCTGCACAAACAAAGAGAAACAAACAAGCACGGCGAGCGCAACATACCAGGGTTGTGAGTTGTCCACCAAGCCAAATCCAAAGAGAAAAATGGCTTCAAAGAAAAGGGCCAAGAATTGCGCCCAAATACGGCCACGGAATCCCACGTATTTAAAGAGGACATCACTGGTAATGCCTCCTAAAGATCTTGCAAAAAGGTTCATGAGCCCGAAAGCTCCAGCCAACGCAAAGGCATCCGTTGCAGGTAGCTGAAAATAAGTCCTGAAGTGCGTCGCTAATTGATTGTTCATAGCGAGTTCCTTAGCTTTGTTGATGGCGAGTGACCGTACAGTACAAACAAGTTATGTTTTCTTTCTACTGAGACAACCCAGTTAAAGGTGTTCAGTCTATCTGCGAGTGAGCAGCTGTGCCAAAACATGCGGAATATTGGAAAATCATCACGACCACGCGGACATCTTTTAGCACTTCGACATAATCCCACATGGACGGTTTCTTGGTCTTGCCAATTAGAGCCACATTGAAGCGTTTAGCGGTCGGCGTGTCCCAACACAACAGCTTTATTGCTGCTGCACATACAACGAAAAGGACAGCGGGAATGAGCATGGACACTCGCCAGGCTGTATCTGACGCCATGCCACTGCTCACCAAGGGGTTGAAGAGCACAGAAATCATGAAGATCTGCGTCACACCCCCGCCCAAGTTGCCCCAACCAGCTGCGGTCGCATTGGCAGTGCCCACCACGTTGGGCGAAAACATCAGAGAGCACCAGAACTGGTTCCCTACGAAAGTCGCTCCTGCCAATTGAGCGAAGAATACAAAATTGAAAGTTAAGGAGCCAAAAAATACACCAGCATGAACATCCCGCAGTGTGGCCGGAAGCGTGTGCAATTTGACTTTGTCACCAATGGCTCTTGAACCAACCCGTGCAAGACCACGCTAGCATGTACTTGAATACTGACACAGAAAAGCATAAAAGCTTTCCCGCATGAAAATTTTCACGATGTGACTTGCTTGCCTCCCTTCTTGTCTCTCCACTACGTGGCTGCCACGGAATGATTGCTTGCTTTGCTCCTTTCTTCTCCCCACTTATCTCCCTGAGCGGATGCTCGGCAGGTTGCAAGTTCTCAGTCAAAGGTGTGTCTCATTTGTTTCACTCGCATGCTTAATAGTGCCCGAGGCAGCAACGCGCCATTGAAAATCAAACATGCATGGACTCCTCCTGAGCCACAAGGTAGGCTGCATCAAGAGATGGAGGTGCATCTGATGCTCCAGCAAGGCAGCTGCACAGCCAGTTGGCCACTGGAGGAAGAGAAAGAGATGAGAGAGAGGAAGAGGGAGAGCGCGAGAGTCAATCAAGGTACGCAGTGGGGTCATGATATAGTGTTCTGTTCTTTTTCATGAATCTCGCAATCTCGCACACAAACCAAGTACAAAAACACACTCACACCCACACACACACACACACATTGCTACAGTACTGAAAATTGTCTTAAATGGAAACGTTCTCTTCGATCCTCCCTTTGATCAGTTCAGTCGTTGGCGCTTGCTAGCATGCAGCACTGCTCATCCCCCACAGGCCTTATATTGCATTGCCCTCCTGTGTTCATAGAACCCACATCTGCAAAGAGAGTTGAACATCAAACACAAACATTCCAAGGTGAAACCAGGAAACCCTGCATCTCAGACGTGCCTCTCAGGCGACAGAGGCCTTACTTGCTTTGAGTATTTGATATTACACCAGCACCAACCCAGACAGCGTTTGTACACTGGATACAAAGGGAGAATATGTCATGACACCCACCAAAAGACTGGTGACTAGTGGGGAGACAAGTGAGGACACAAAGTCGAGTCATTCTGTGGATCCAAATGTTCGAAAGCCAATAGAACCCCAACGGCAAGTTGATTGGTTAAAAACGGTATGTGTTTGGAATGAGCAGCCTATTGCTTAGCCAACAAACAAGCCCTTTCTCTCGATCGACTGCCCAGTCACATTGCTACCGGACAACTACTCAAAGCCATGGAAGTCATGACTTTCAAACACTCCGGTGTTTCAAGCCGAGCTGATGAGCAAAAAAAGAAAGGCACACACAAGGGAGATCTGCAAACTTGAGCTCCGAGAAACAAGATGCTCTCAACAGCATTCCTCGAGGCCTGTGAGTAAAGCTCTAAGCTTGAATAAAACGGGCGACAGCGAAACATCTAGAGGTAAGCTTCCTTAACCGAAAGGGCTATATACAATCTACAATGCAGCATATTTACCTATTTATCAAAGCACTCAATCATGTCCTGCACAGCCAATGAAGAAACGGATCGCGGTGTACTGCCACGGTTCCTGAATTGTTGCAGCTAGGGCAACCCAAATGGCTCCAAAGGTCAACAAACCTGACTGCACATTGACAGGGCCAAATCTCTCCAGAAGCGTGCCGAGAGCAATGCGAACAAAAATGGTTGAACCCACAGCTGCCACTCCTGCATTGGCAATGATGCCATTGCATTGAGTTCCAGTGGTGCAAACGCACTTTGCCAGCACCTTCGGTCGGTATTTGAGTTTCTCCTCTGCAGTTGCAGTAGCATTGTTGGCAATCTCGCTTGGTACGTCCGCACAGTCTGTGGGCGTGCCATCATCCTTAAGCTGCCCATATTGGCAATATGGTTCTGACGTCGAGATATTTTTGTACTTCAGGTAAGCCACTCGCTTAGGGTTGCTCTCTGTCGGATAAAGCTGGTTCTCACACCTCCCCATGCTGGTGGCCACCTCAAGGCCCAAAGGTGCCAAAGCAAACCAACCCAAAAAGGCAAGGAAGAAGGAGAATGTGGAACCCCAAAACGCGCGCATGTGTGGGTTCTCTCTTACCGTGCCACATATTCGCAGCAGTGGCAACTCTGTGGCCTTGTTGTTCTCATCAACCGCAAGCTTGAATTCCGCCATCCAATGATGCAAGTGCCAAGACTGCCAAGTTCTTTGGCGCAAACGGCACCCCGAAGCCACCAAAAAGGGTAAGACTCTCTGCAGGCACTGGCTTCGCTTGTCTGAAAGACTTTTTGCAGCGGGGCCCTTTCTTGAGCCGAACATGGCCCAACAATGCGACGATTTCGCAAAGGGACCACCACTATCTGAAGACTTACCACAATGGCCTTGTTTCTTGACCACTTCGCTGCACACGCTAAACTAAACAAACACGCACGGCCACTTGGGAATCAAATGAGTGGCTGCTCTCCGCGCCTGTTTCTGCTCTGACTCTCTCTGCGATGTGGTTTGATCAATTTGGCGGGTAAAGCACACTGTGCTGGACAACAACAAATCGTGATACAATCGCGGATACAATCTGCCATCACACGATCTTCAAGACACATCATATATCGCATGATTCAAGTTCCGCAAAAGCAAAGGTTAGTCTGTATACCTTGCACTTTGGTCCAAAGCGGTCTCGATGGCAGCAAACAAGTGTCTCCCTCAGCTGTGTCAGCTGAGGGAGAAACTCCGAACAACTGATTGAACCAAAATGGTTCAGGGATGTTCAGGGTTTGCCGGCTGCTGCATTCCAGGCCGCTGACTGACTCTAAAAGAGCGTCATTGCGGGTGGACGATCGTGACGATCCAAGCAACCGAATGAACTCACGACATTCATTGGAGCCGAGCCTGTGAGCAACTTCCACCTCCTTTGTTTTATCTAGGTTTGCTTTCGCAAGGACTTTCGCGGAGCTTTCGCGACCTGCATGTTGTTTGGTTTTCAAGAAAGGATGTGAGATTACAGTTTGTACACTTTTCATCATAGAGGTTTTTGAAACTGCTCCTGTGACTCACTGTGACAAAAGGACATGTGAAATGCGCAGCGACATAAGCCGCCCTAAACCCTAAACACTCAGCGACTCTCAGCTTGACTCTTCACTGTCTGCCACCCGATTTTGTCGCGTGTCCTATCATGTTGGGCCGGTCTTAGTTGCTTCTTGGAACACCTGAGATGCACATCTCAGTCTCGCTGAGAGCTTTTCTGAGCTGTCTTGCTAAAGTAGTAGTAAAGCCAGCAAGCACACAATACCAGCAGTTAAGCAGCGAAAACTGTCTTCAGGGCTGGTGATTGGTTTAAAATGCGGGGTCGCACAGTTTGCACATCCTTGCTTCTGCATGGCATTGATGCAAATCTGACCTGGCCAAACTGCTCGTCCAGAGCGCTCTCTACTCGTATGCAGCCGCACCATTGCGTTGCTGTATTCCAACCAGTGTATTTGTGCGCCACATCTCTTATGTAACCTTTTGAAATACTTATTAGTTGACCACGTGATTCTCTTGCTGTCCCAGAAATCCAACCACACAACCACGGGGTATAGCGGTCGAAAGTTTAGTGGGTGTAACACTACATAGAACATTTAGTTCGTTCAGCTCCTGCGACCGCAGGATGTGGAGGGCACCTCTCCTGCACCTGCGGCCTATGTCCCTCAGTCATCGTACGTCCCTCAGTGATTCAGAATGAGACATGTCCTTGAGATATAGTACACGGCCGATGGTTAAACCCACATTAGCTGATGCGATATTCACTGCCGTCCAATAAGGCCCAAACCGGCAACTGCCGCAAACATACACGAACTGTGGTGCCTTTTCCAATGTCGTGAACAGGCAAGCAGCTCAATCATCTGCAACAGTTGCACTGCGTGCTGTGTCTGCGGAGGTTTTGTAGACTTGACTCAACCAACACTTCCAAGCTTCCGGCCTGGGCTATTCAGACTCTTCATCTAGCGCCTCAAACACACATGAGAACGATCTTCGCATCAGCCCGCATCGACATGTCCAGGATGGTGGCTCCTACCCCAGTCTAAAACCAATGACCTCCTCACTTGCGACCACGGACACACACTCGGGATAATGCATACGGAACTGAATGCGGCTTGCCACCAGCCAGCCTGAGTAAAAAACCTAAGGGGCCAGGGTGGGTATATGGAAAGCGGTCTGATCACGACACATGAATCTCAAATCTTGAAAGAGGTCCGAAGCTTCCCGAGAGTTCCAACTTCGAAAGAACGAGGAAATCGACGTCCAACGCTCACATCTGCCGAGGGCAACCTAAGAACAGTCTTACTCAACATCACAACGAGATCAAAACGCTGGTGCAAAATTGTTGGCGCCCCAGCTCTCTTCCAACTGATTTCCGTAGCTTTGTTGGCAAGGATAGGAAATCCCCCTGCTTGTCAAAAAGGTGAGGAGCGCAGAAGCACAAAAAAGGTGACCTCTGAGTCCACGGTGTTCACACACACGCCGCCAGCTCACGCAGGCCAAACCCAGTTTCATTTTCAAACTCAGGTCAACGGAGTGAGACAGAATCAACAGAAGGTTTGGCGTTCACTCTGGTTGGGGTAGGCGGTGCGCAGTGCGACTTGGACGACGGCGTCATCGTGTAGACGCGGAGGGCAAGGAAGAGGTGCACAGGTAACACTGCGGGGACGTAGCTGTCGGGTTTTGATGTAGTGCGTGGTTAGGGTTTCCAGATAGAGAAAATGTTCTGCTTCCATCTGCTTCCCAGACACGAGCCAGGATTGCGAGCAAGACATGCCTGCGCAGGAGCGTCACATCTTTGAGGTCATCAACAGCGTATTTTTTTGGCGCAAGTCAAAGTCTCATAGCGTTGAACATCACGAGGTCGAGGGCACACTGGAGTGTAAGACTCTGAAGAATCCGCCACGCGGTCCATAAAGACGAGCAGGCAAGAACAAGAGCCACGTTGTCCGAAATTGACGACTGAACGCAGTGGTTGCGCAGACAGAAGATGAAGATGAAGATGAAGTTGTGAAAGGTGGTCAGCTGTGTCCAAAACTTTGAGCCCGAGGCGCCAAAGAAAGGAAGGACGAAGGCTCGCTACAATCAGAAAGCCTTCCAGGTAGGAAGATGCTCGCGCCCATGGGATCGAGTAGATGAGCGAGAACATGAACGAGGACGCGCGGACAAGGCACGGGAGTGGTAGTCCTTCGCACAGGCGTGAACTGGGGCTGGTGGTCATGCTGGTTGACATGGGCGCTAGACAGGACGTAGACGTTCAAGCTGGTGAAGAGGGAGGGGAGGTGTAGGAGGCGGCCGGAAGCACAAGAACGTGTTGTTGAAGAGAACCGGCCTCAGCATGTTCCGAATGAAAATTTGACGAGTCCAGCCAGCTCGTGTGAGGGGCAGGAATCAGAGGAGACCGTCCATACTCAAAAGTTCACATAGACCAAAACAATTCTGATTCACGCGTCGTCGCACGCGATGAGCAATATAGCTGCGGCTGGGGCGCAAGTGAGTGTGGCAAGCTGAAGGTCATCTTGATCGTCCCAGCCCTCGTGCCAGGGTGGGGAAAGTGGGGACGCAGGAGAAGGGGACGGCGTTGAAGGGGTGTCCTCACAATAACGGGGACGTTTGCGAGGGACGAAGTAATGGAGAGGGCGGCGGCGGGGCAGAAGAAAGAAGAGAGGTGGAACGGTTGAACGCTGCGTCACGTAGAAGTGGAACCCTAGAGGAAACCATCAAGCCCGGCAGCCCGCGCGGTGAAGAAGCCCGATTCGAGAAAACGGAGTGCGAGGGAAGAAACTCGGCGAAAACCGGATGGAAGAAGAGAGAGGAAGAGGACAAGAAGTAGGAAAAAATGGAGGAAGAAGGACGCTGAATGGAAGTGAATTGGAAAGGGAGACAAGCAATGTGAAGGTTCATGACTGCAACGAGAAAATTAACGGAAGCTGACTTTGTCGCAACTTTTTATTCCGGGAAGAAAGTCGGCGCGGGTGAAACCTCCCCATAGTTTGTAAAAGGCGAAAGACCAGGCACATAAGGTGCAGGATACGGCAGTAGTTGCTGTATAGGAGAAAGCCAAGGTTGAGTCCGAAGTCCAAGTCCATGTGGAGGAAAAATCCAAGATGCGATTTGCGGCAAGGAGCTCATGATCAATCCGGTTAATACGCTGCGAAACCAGGCAGGCAATGAGGCCGAGGGGAGCGCGATCTGGGCGCGTTTCCAAAGTGGACCAAAAGGAGGTCTCTATAGCGTAGACGGGGAGGGCGGCGCGCAGGGCGGCAGCAAACAACGGGCAGCCGAGGTTTGAGGTGCCCGTGATGGTGGTGATTCGCGACATCCGACAGGTAGATCATCATCATCAACGCCGCCCCAATCTGGTTTGCAATCACGAGAACGAGAGGCAGCCCGAAGTTACCGATGAGCTCTTTGAGCGGAATCGGAGGAGGAGCGCACGGCGACGAAATCGTGGTTAGGTAAAGAGTGCTAAGGAAAGAATCCACGAAAGGGAAGAAACCGAACGTGAAAAGGAGTGGTGCAAATAGGGATCCAGAATCCATGGTGTGGTAAAGTGGAATAAGGTACATAGTAGCAATAAAACACACTTTTAGCCTGCGCATCGATTCTTTTCCAGTTTTATGCGCCACATTTTGTCAATGGGATGTTTTTAGTTCTGCCATTGAAACTTTAACATGCGATATATATATATATACATACAGATTTTCTCAGTTGACCAAGAACGAACCACAAACCTTTTTATCCACAATGAAAAGGTACATGTTTGGTTTGATGTCAATGATTTGTTTTTTGAAGCGCTTGCACTCTTGAGCATGAAGACTCAAAGTGTAAAATGGTAAAAGGTGGTAAAATCTTAAAGCAGCGGTAAGTAAAAGTACAGGTACAAAGAAACCTGAAAGGGGTGAATGGAGCGGCATCCAACCAAAGCAATACGCGACCTTCGTGAAGTCTCCAAATTCTCAAGTCCAAGGCAACATGTGACCTCCATGAAGCTTCCAAAACTTCCGAGTTCAAGGCTGAAAGTCAAAGTGCATGACTGCGGTGAGGGAACGGACGACGGACGCAATGGCTTCGCGCAGGCGCGTGCAATCTGCGTCCAGATTGCATATCACCGCAAACCTTCGTTGAGCGGTGACTTCAAGAATGCACACCGCTCCCCTGCTGTCAAAGGGTAAAACCGAGTGTCAGAGCAAAAAATCAACGGATTCCCTGTGACTCCGAGGGTTTCACACGCTTAAACGAACGAGCATAAGTTTCAGTAACTGGCTCGCTGTTGCATTGGCCCTGAACAGCCTTAACAATCTAGTTACTGCAGAAACGAATTAGTTACTGAATACCTAGCCCTTGACTTGCAAAAAGGCTAAGGCGAAAGGGTCCGAAGAACAGAACTGCTAAACAAACGTACTTGCACTTTGCAGGAAAATAAAAACTACCCAAGAACACACCCCTTCTCACGTCACCAGTTGTGAGTCCGTCTTCGTCGGTCCAGGGACAACTCACAACTGCCTGAGCCCTCTGCTTAACATTACCTGCTGCGTGAAAAAACCTTGGGTACAGAGTATGACACAAACAAGAGGCCGATTATGGGCGCTCGGGGGGGAACCAGCCAAATCTTTTCCCCTCTGCAAAAGATCCCGTTTTACAACCTAACAGGCATCTAGAAGAAAGCGAGAGAACAGCAAGAGGAACAGGAAAGAGTGAAAGAACCCTGCAGAGAGTTGTATTCTCTGAAATACTGGAAAGTAAGTTGAAAACTTGTTGGGACACCCGCGGTGGAAACCCGAAGCAGTGGAATCGTGTGAACCGATGAGAGTGAATGGGATTCAGTATAGTACTCTCCGTGAACTCGGCAGTAGAACTTCAGCTCTTTCACGCGATCACGTTTGATCTGAAGCTGGCTCACGGCGCGCACCCTTGACTTGCAAAAACGAACTCCACGGAATCCCTATGATTCCAAAGGTTTCACAAACACGCCTCCTGTTGAGGGAGGCGAAAAGAACTAAGGCAACAACTAATGAGCAAGCGCGCGCAAGACAGGCAAGGCAAATGAATGAAGACATGAAAGGAGGACAAGACAGACCGTGTGTATGTGGTTGCAATGAGAAGAAACCAAGTGACTAGGCACAACCAATGAACCCAACCTCCTTGTAAGAACCTGGGCGACCTGAGACGTGGGTTTAAAGTGTGAGCGCGCGTGCATACTAAGGGCTGGACCTATGTGTGCGCAAAAGAAAGAAAGGATGCGGCGCCAAGACATGCAGACAAAGAGACATGAAACAAAAGAAGGGAAGAAAACGTGTGTGTGTGTGAAGGGGAAAGGAGGGAAAGGGGAACCAATGGAGGGCCGGAAACTGATGAGACCAGGCCTCATTAAAGCCACCTAGGCAAAACCTGGTCTAAAGCGCGCGCGCGCGCTGTGTGTGCATATATAAGGCCCCGACAGGTTCCAATGAACCTTGAAAAGCTTCGGTCGCTGCGACCACGTACGCCGTGCCAAAACGGCTGGCTGCTCGGACCGCTACGGTCACCTTATGGCATACTCGAAAGCTGCCTACTTGTATTCAATAATTCAGCAAGTCTTGGCAAGTGACTTTGGCTCAAGCCGACTCCGCCCGCTACGGGCACGCGCGTTTCCGAAGCAGTGGAAACATGGGCAAGCGCTCGTTTGACGGGGCCACAGGGGACACTCGTCGGGCTCGCTCACTGGGAGAGACACATTTAGGAAATGCATACTGACTCGATTGCGGGTTGCCACACGCCAACCTAGGTACCCAAATCCTGAGAAGTGCATGTAAAAGGTCAAGGATCCTGGTGGTCCAACAAAGGAAGGTGAGGCCCACATCTCAAAGTGTAAAGTCGACGATCGCGAAACAACAGGATGACGACGTTCGCTCACAACTGCGGAGCGCATTAATTCTTTACGTAAAATTGGGGTCACAGCTTGAGCACTGGAAAGCGTCCTTTCCAGATATCAGCCACAATTGCAGCCCTCTTCGTTGGGCAATCAATCAACTGCAACGTGGGATTGCCCCCCTGCTGTAAACAAATTCGAATGAATCCCTATGAGCCTATGATTCCAAGGGCTTCATACACCGAAGAACAAACAACATAAGAATAAAAGAAAGAAAACATGAACCAAAAAGTCATTAAAACCCAGGTACAAGTTGGCCCAAAATCCCTGCCGCGTCATGATCCACGCAATCTTTCACCAGCCGCAGCCTGGAGATATTGGCGCAGCATAAAAAGTTTGAGGAGAGCTCCGCAGAGGATGCGGAGTGGCATGGCGTGTGAACTCTTTCTTATGTCAGCTCTGGGGAGAGTACAGCTCTTCCAAAGACTCGGCGGAACTCATGGACTTGCGGCTGACGGTTGCCTTCTCTCCTGAAAAAGGGAAAGAATAAACATAAGGACAAACTTTCTCCATCTTCTGACCCTGATCTTTGTTTGCTCTACTTTTCCAGCCTTCTGTTGCCTCGGGTCTAAGCCGTGGAAGGCACACTTTCAGCTCTTTCCACACCTTTCCGGCATGACCGGGCCAATAACTCGTCACTGGCCGAAGGTCTTTGTCTCTGTTTTGAGAGATACATGATACACCACAATTTCTGAAGGCCTCATTTTCCAGAACTTGTTGAATTGATGGAAGTGAGGCTGCACTTGCTTCCTTTTGGACCTTGCAGTTGGAAACATGCAAAATGACACAGTCTCAGCTGCTTGGCTCCGAACCAGTTCGAGCAACGGTTCAGCAAGCCACGCATTCTCCACCACAGCAGCCTTGACGGTTTCCTTCAGGGAGGTTCACGTTCACACTAGAAATCACAACACATCCAATCCTTATTCAATCACTTTGCTTTATTCGCCTCAAGACCTGACAAACCCTTTTGTAAAAGTCAACCAATGAGCTTTATCTTCACAAAAATACATCTTTTAAACCCGTGCCTCAGATCGAAAAGACGGCTCGAGCCGTTTTGTCAACGTGTCGACAAGCGCCTGGAAATGCAGATGCTATGGTGACTACAGCGCACGTTTGTGAGCACGAGTCGTTGGGGTCAAGCTGCAGCCCTGTCCCGCCTTGAACAACCCGAGGCTTTCTGTCACGATTTTGTTGATGTCCTTGTTCGATTGGTGACCCCACATGACCCCACGAGGCTCTGCATAGGATGTGTCACTTGTGTGTCCTCGAGTTTTTTGTCTTCTGGTTGGTGCTCATCCCACATCCTTGGAAACCGTAGTGGGAAGTAAAATCCAGAAAATCAAGAACTAAACAGCATGAAGTTGCATCCAAGTGTCTTTCTTACCATGAGATGCAGAGTGCCCGTGTACCACTTGCACCTACAAAAACCGGATGCAACAGTAGCCTGATCAGCCAAACGTATTGTCGAAGTATGCGCGATGCGATTAATTTGTCCTCGAATATATCCGAACCATGTGGTTGTCCAGACTTCATGCAGATCCAGCCCTTCTCCAATATGCATGCTTTTCTCTCTCTCTACACACATTTATATATATATATAAATATAAATATATATGCTAGCCCCCCCCAAAAAAAAACTATGTTTCTGAGTGCTGGTGTGCAGTTGGTAAGCATATTTGTTCATTTAACTATTTACTACAAAAATGTCCAAATCCATAAGGTTATGTGTTTACTAAACAGTTCTTGGATGGAGTAATCTAATTCATTACAACTCCATGCAAAACCATATGTCTTGCTTTTAGGGTGTGAATTGTACTCCTCTTATTGAATGCAGTTGAGCAAGTACATCATAATCAGAAGGCAAAGAATTGCAAAGCCTAAATGAATAAATTCCAGTCTAATTCTAATGAAACTTAAATTCCAATCTATTCAACTCTACTCTACTTTGTATATTCAAATTCAAATTTGAGTCTATTTCAATTATTTGTAAACTATATTTTGATTCTAATTTACTTGGGATTCAATGCAAGCATAATTTTAATTTGATTTCAAGCTAATTCTAACTTCATTGCTATACAAGTCAGATTCAATTGAGACATTGTATTATTTTTCAATTTAGTTTTAATTTGAATGAAATTCTCATTTACTTCTAGAGAAGTGGTGTTACTTTGAACATGAGAGATTTTTTGTAGTTTTTCCAATATAGAAGAATGTGCTTTCTTAAATGAATTAAATTCACCACCAGCAACACCCACTCTCTAGAATGACACCAAAACTGAATTAGAAGTCCATGTGCATTGAACTAGAATCAAAATAGGATGAAATTAGACATATAGAAACCAAACCTAATTTGCAATGACAATAGTGTAAAATTCGATGTGTAAAACAATTGAATCTGAACCGTATAAAGGCATTAAGATTTGAAATTAATTACTAGTAAATTGGAAGGGTCAAAGTTACAATTGAACCCAAATAGAATGAAATAAAACTAAGTAGAAGCAGACTGGAGTCAAATTAGAGTTGAAAGAAACACATTGAATAATAATCCATTACTTAAATTGAAATTGACTTAGAACTAAGGTAGAATTGAATTAGAGTTGTAATTCCTAGAGCTTGGTTAGTAGAACAGTATTGACTTAGAACTAAATTGGAATCTAAGTTCAATTAGAATTGAACTAGATCTAATGTGCAATCTCAATTTGATTTCAATTATATAAAATTCAATTAGGACCATTTTCTATTTAAATTAGAAGCACGTTGCAGATTCAAATTTAGATTCAAGTTTCAATTCCATTAGATCTAAAACAGCCAAGCATATTTAGAATTAAAATAGAAATGAGTAAATTAGAATAAAAACTGAATTAGAATTTGTTTATACAATGAAGTTAAGCTAAATAGACTTAAACTAGAATTCAATTAGGCTCAACTTAGGCATACAGTAGAACTATGTTGCATACTCAAATTAGAATCAATTTAAAGTTCAATTAGACTTCAATTAGACCCAACTTAGAAATTTGAATAGAAATACAAATGATTTTAAATTGGAATCAGAATTGACTTAGAAGTTAGTTAAATTGTATGTGCACTAAAATTCATAGAAGTAAATTAGAGTTGAATTAGTTGTTAATTAGAATTGAATGAGGAACAAATCCAGAGAATGCCAGAGAATGCATT